TTGACTCCCCTGCGAAGCTGCATCATATTCCCACTAGCTAGGATTACGATGCACATCACCCTCCTCGTCCTTTCTACTTTTCTTAACTCCCCTTTTTGTCTTGTATTTCACCGACGGTGCACATTGAAGTTGTGGATGAATAAGTTAGATCACAGACTTTTTTCTTCAACACCCTCTGACCCACAATATCTATAGTACTTAAATATCTCTTTAACTCTTCACATGTGTTGTTCTAATGTGACAACTGCACCTCTCCTTGCTTGCATCAACAAATTTTACTCTTTCTAGTTCCTTTTCAATGAGTTGTATACATTGTCTTGAGATAAAACTGTGCACTTTAGAATAGAATGGGGTGTTATACTGATGCTCACGATACTTTTTTTAAAATGACACTATGATGGAACCTAGTTGTAACTTCAACATTGTGTTCACAGCATCCCAACTTCGACATAAATCATCACGACTTGTAGTCAATAAGTTCTTTAGTCTCCAATGTGCAGACTTCATCCTAAAAATCATGAACATATTATCTAAACAACTTTTAAATTAATATCTAAACATAAACATATTTTCTATTAGTCTAATCTACATGTTTGTTGTTGTGTTCCCTAAATGAGTGACTTTGTTAGCTCATGCAGCAACAAATCTTTCTTTATATGATGTTAACCATGTTTCATTCACATACTTGACAAATGATAGAATATCACCACAAACACTCTCGAAGTGGTTGAAATGTACACCAAACTTGTCTTATGTATTTGAATACATGATGTTGTTCCATTGATCCATGACATATTCTTGTCTTTCTGATTTCACATACTCCTTACATTTTATGCTCATGTTTTTTGAAATACGGAACGTACATAACATATGAGTTACATTTGGAAACACAGAATCAATGGCATTCATTAATGCAAGTTCACGGTCCGTCACCACAACATTCGAAAGCAATTTCTCTGAATAAAACAACTCTTTGAGCTTCTGTAGTGCCCATGTGAAGTTCTTCTCCCTTTCATGTTCTAAATAGGCAAAAGCAACTGAAAACGTCAATTTTGTTGATGTAACACCAACAATCTCCAGCAATAGTAGACGGTACGTGCACGATTAAAATGCACATAATCAACCATGTCACTCAACGTATTTTAGGATGAGAGAACTAAAATTATTACCTATTTGTCTTGTATGTGCAATAAAAAATTAACATCATATGAAATATATTCAACAACTTCACAGAATCAGGATGTGTCCAGAAGATATCACCCACAATATCTGAATTCTCTCTATTTCTAGTCCAACACATCTATTTCTCTGGATGAATAAGGCTCAATAACATTTGCATTTCTATCATTGCACCTCTGTTGTCTAATATGCATGTTGCTCTAGCTCGGTATACCTGGGTAATACTCGTAAGATTTTCTGAGTCTTTGTCTTTCAAAGCAAACACGATGTACCTTGGTGTCATGTTGTACTTCGGCATGTCATTCACAAACTTTCTTTCATGATTTTTTAGACGGCCCAATATGTTATGGCCTTCCAAATTCTTATCTAGTCTATGATTGTGCATCCCGCATCTAAGCATCACCTTCCAACCGATACCACTTAGAACGAATCTCAGCCTAAATGGACATCTAACTTTCATAGTATAGTTGCCATCAGAAGGATTCCCATATTCATTTTTCTTTTTGTAATTTCCTCCTCTGTGACAATCCATAATCAATTTATCCTTTCTCTCTCGCAGTCTATTAGCAAAATCGGACTGAATTGTAACAACAGCAATACCATAATTTTTATCAATAGGCTATGCCCATTCTAGAACTTTAGCTCGTGATTCAAAAATCTAACAATTACAACAACATATAATTAGTAAACTTCATTAATCTACAAAAAAAAAAGTGTAAATTAAATAGGAACCATACGGTATTGGTGATGAAGAACTGCGTAAGATCAGTACAAGAATTTGTAGAAGAAGCTAAAACTTCCAGTTCAAAACCGCAAAGATATAAAATTTCATCTGCAAACATATCAGAAATTTCAAGTATAACTGAAATTTCTGATACCCTGGAAATTTCAAATTTCCGATAAACATTTTTTACCGGAAATTTGCGTAATTTCCAGTACGTGTGTGCTGGCTTTTGAAAATTGACACGGAAATTTTAAAATTTTCGGTGAATCACAACCGAAAATTTTAAAATTTCCGATTAATCGCAACTAGAAATTTGTATAATGTAAATAATTTATGGCAAGCAACCAAAATCGGCACCGAATATTTACTTAGCATACCATAAATTTTGATTTTTAACTCTTTTGACCAATAGTAAAAAAAAATTGACAAAAGTAAAAAGTTTAGAATAAATAATAAAAGAAATATTATAAGAATAATAAAATTTGAAGGTGATATATATATATATATATATATATATATATATATATATATATATATATATATATATATATATATATATAATATTAAGGATGGCAAGTTAATTTCACGTGAGAAAGTATATATTTGTATTACACAACTCCGAAACAAATCAGCTAGTATATTAATTTTTCATATGTAAATTAATAAACATTATTTTTATGCAAATCATTTGAGTGAATCAAAACAAACTTTATATGGTACCTAATGGGATTAAGAGGATTCACACCCACCTTATGACTTAAGAATGAATTTTATATCATTGTTTCTTTAATTAGTTTACTTGAGATAATAATGATATAGTATTATAATTAATAATTTACACAAGTGCATAGGTACATTTTACTAGCTTTTGAAAAAAGGTTAATACATATTTGTCACATGCCATTTGGTCAGATTTTGAAAAAGAGCTTCGGAAAAAAAACAATACAGATTACATCTTTGTCATTTTAAGATTCTTCTATTTTATCCAAGATGGAATCTGTATTTTTTTTTTATCGGATCCTTTTATCAAAATCAAAATATCACCAAATGAGAGGGAGCAAAAATGTATATTAACCTTTTGAAAAATAAATAAATTATGCTACTTGAAATAACAAGATCAAAATTATAATTAAATAAAGCTTAAATATTTCTTTCACGATTTTCCTTGACAAATGAGACTAGAATTGAAAATCTTCAAATAGTTTAACAAAGAAAGGACAACTATAATATAGAATAATAATATCACCCAATCCACCACTCATGTTTTGACTTGTCATAACTAAAACATTTAGAAAAAAAGAAATAAAGTAATTGTGATACCGCAATTACATCTCTACACAAGTATTTGTCATTTATTTATATATATTCTCTATATGAATTTTAGTGTTTCTTCATTTACATCTCAACAACACCACTCATGAGAAATATTGACTACTTTCCTGTTAACTTCAACAACTACAGTATGATCCATGCCTCAACTACTCCAACACACTCTTCATTCACTCTTATATAACCCCAAAACTGATTCCATTCATTCATCCAAACAGAGATTAATCATCTACATCTAAAAAGTTGAAAACAAGATGGCTATGGGATTGTTAACTATAGCTCCCTTGGCAATGTTGGTTATCTTTTCTCATTTGACAATTTCTATAACAGCAGTTGACCCTATTGCAGCCACAGGGAAAGAACCCATTATTGAGTTATTCATGCATGACATTCTTGGTGGAAGTAATCCAACGGCCCGACCTGTAACCGGTTTGCTAGGTAACATATACAGTGGTCAAGTGCCCTTTGCAACTCCAATTGGATTCAACACTCCGGCAGGTGGGACTCTCATCCCTAATGCCAATGGTGCTATTCCCACCGTCAATGGTGTTACTGGTATCCCGTTAGGAACTGGTTTGGCTGGTACTTCCTTTGCACCAAACAACAACAACCAAAACAATGTTCAGATGCAGTTAGGACCTGATGGACTTGGACTGGGATTTGGTACAATCACTGTTATCGATGATATACTTACATCTCAACCTGAATTGGGTTCCCAGATAGTTGGAAAAGCACAAGGTGTGTATGTGGCAAGTTCAGCAGATGGGAGTAGACAGATGATGGTATTCACAGCTTTGTTTGAAGGAGGGGAATATGGAGATAGCTTGAACTTTTATGGCTTGTATAAAATAGGAAGCACCATGTCGCGATTATCGATAATAGGGGGCACGGGAAAGTTCAAGAATGCAAGGGGGTTTGCAGAACTGAGACCTCTTATCCCACCAGGACAGATTGCCACTGATGGTGCTGAGACATTGCTGAGGATAAGTGTCCATTTGACCTACTAGAACTGTGCTGTAAAGATGAAAAAGCGACTGGGTGGTTTACTTTTTAATTACAGATGACAATGAGATCGGTCTTGTATGTTTTCAACTTTGATTGTACAATTGTATGTGAAATCTTATTTGTAATCCGACGATATCATGTGGTGATATATGGTTTTTGCTATTCATGGTGTTGTACTGCTTACCTAATGCCATCTAATCATCAGTCTTAAGAGAGATTTTAAAAATTTGAATGCAAAATTCTCCAGACCACATGTTATGTGTTAAAAGAGAAAAATCAAACAAGTGAGACGCTAACATAAATGGTGAAACATTAGCGCTATTATAACAAAAACAATAATGATAAAAGGGAAAAAAGCACGATAGAACAAAATCACAAATGCCTATGAAAACAAAAACCGAAACAAATAAAAAGTTACTGCATATGAAGCATGAAATGTAAGAAAATGTTATTCATTATCTCATATACACACAACTCTAGAGAGCATCCATATGATTAGCAGTGCCTCAACAGTTCATGAACAACTTTCCACAAATCAATTGTATACATCAAAGAGAAATGAAGAGGAGTCAACTTTGAAAAACACACCGATATGTGAAATTTTAAAGCAGCTGAACATCCTGTTTTTACAAGCTAGTGTCTCCATTGTCACTAATGATCCTTTTTCAACTGATGGATAAGAAAGACAGATATGTATGAGCAATGATAGTTATAAAATGAAATAATTACCAATGTGCAAGTAGTGCATGGAGATCATTAGACTTCAAGACAAGCTTGTGATATTAACATGAGACAGTAGCGTAGCTTCGTCAAGCCCATAGAGCGCATCTATCAAGTGCATTCGCAATGACGCGGGTCCTTTAGCCATCTTCATTCCTAACTCACCGGCAACTCCGAATACAGCTAGTGCTGATACAGCCGCATCTAAAGCATGGGTTTTGTCAAGTGCAAGAAAGGCAGCAATGAGTGCAGTGACAGAACACCCAGTTGCTGTAACTTTTTGCATCAATGCGACTCCATTGTGAGCACCAACAACTTGATTACCATCTGTGACAATGTCAGTAGCTCCTGACACTGCGACAATGGCACCACTTGTTCGAGCCAACAACTTAGCTGCTTCAACTGCATCCATTGAATCATGAGTACTGTCTGCACCCTATACAACAATAGAGCTAAATTACAAAGTCAAATTCCAAAAATTTGTAGCTTTGGATGAGTTCCTAAAATCCATGTATATATATACCTTGGCGGAGGAGGATTTGGAGGAGGAAGAAAGAGCAATAATTTCAGAAGCATTTCCTCTAATAACAGTGGGTTTAAATCCAAGAAGGCGAACGCAAGCATCGAATCGAAAAGACGAGGCGGAAACAGCGACGGGATCAAGAACCCAAGGAATACCCAACTCGGAGCATATCTGAGCTGCAGTTATCATAGCAGAAAGAGAGTCGGGAGAGAGTGTGCCGAGGTTGACGCACAGAGCACTGACGCGCGGAGTGAAGTCGGGAATCTCTTCGACGGAATGAACCATGGCTGGAGACGCTCCGGCGGATAAGAGAGTGTTGGCCATAAGATCCATTGAGACAAAGTTGGTTATGCATTGAATTAGCGGTGATTCAGTTCGAATCTTTGAAAAGAGATTCCATGTTCGTTTTCCCCATTCTTCCATTGAACCGTAACGGAAACTCTCTCACTTTCATCTATGTACATTCCTCTCTATTCTCAATCACTCAAATTACTCTAATTAATTGTTTTTTTTTTAGCAATAACTAATAAATTGTTGCTTTTATTTTTTAAATACCTTTTTGTTTTTATTTTTGTTTCTATGTGTCAGAATTAATTTAGATTTAATTAGATATTAGTTTATATTTAAAAATATCTTTTAGATTGTTTATATCTTTGATAGAAGATATAAATCTTAGATCTTCTTATATTTTTGTAGAAGATATATTTTAGATTTAATTTGTGGCTATAAACAGCCTAGTAGAATGGGTTATTGTAATTCATTGTAAATCCTTATTTTTGAAACTATCAGCAAATATTCCTTTTGTCTTTTATCTTTCTTGTGCTCCAACAATTGGTATCTAGAGTTCCTGGTTAGAAACTCTGGAATTTGAGAAACATTGATTTTTCATTGAGTTTCTGCGTAAATTGTACAAGGTAGAAGATGAACGGAAACAGCGATATTCATTCCAAGCTTCCAGTATTTGATGGAAAAAACTGGAATCGTTGGAAGATCCAGATGCGCGTGTTATTTGGTTCTCAAGATGTGTTAGATCTTGTCACTGATGGCTATAATCTGTTAGAAGCAAACGCAACAGAGGCCCAGAAGATAGCACAGAAGGCGCTGAGGAAGAAAGATCAGAAAGCGTTGTTCCACATCCATCAATGTGTGGATGTGAATGTGTTTGAGAAGATTGCTGATTCTGAAATAGCAAAGGTTGCGGGGGACACACTAGTCAAATGTTACGGTGATGACACATCAGTGAAGAAGGTGAAGCTTCAGTCTCTCAGAAAGCAATATGAGAATCTCAGCATGAAGGACAACGAGAAGGTTTCTGAATACATCTCTAGACTGATTCTAATTATTAATGAGATGAAAGCTTGTGGAGAAACTCTTACTGGACAAGTAATTATTGAGAAGATCTTGAGATCTTTAACTTCTCAGTTTGATTACATTGTTGTAGCAATTGAACATTCCAAAGATCTGAGCACCATGAGAGTTGAAGAGCTGCAAAGTAGTCTAGAGGCGCATGAGTTGCGTATGACTGCAAGAACTTCTGAGAGGGAAGTAGAGCAGCAGGCTCTGAAAGTAATTTTTGGTAAGAAGCATCAGAAGCAGACTTGGTCAGAAGCCAGGAAGAGAACTAATGGTGGTCAAAAGTCAGAAGCTTCAAACTCTGATAGGCAGAAAAATGTCCAGAGGGGAAAGGAGAAGTCTGACAAGAAGAATGTTCAGTGTTACTGTTGCAGAAACTTTGGTCATTATGCCAAAGATTGTTGGTCAAATAAAGAAAGGAAGTCAAAAGAAGCAGATGTAGTCAAAGGAGATTCAGATGATGAACTTGTGCTATTTATGGCTTATGAATCTGATGAGGAACCGGTGAAATTGTCATTTTCTGATTCTGAAGGGGAAGAAGAATATGACCCTGAATATTCTGATTCTTAAGGAGTGGTTTTGTATGAGTCGGAATCAGAATATGACTCTGAGTTAGAATCAGATGACGGCTTTAAAGATTTTGAAGATGAGTTAGAATCTGAGGTTTCTGAAGACGAGTTAGAGTCAGAAGATGACTCTGAAGCTGAAGACAAGTCAGAATCCAAAGGTGATTTTGAGTCTGAAGAAGATTATGCTTCTGAAGAAGAGTCAGAAGATGATGACTCTGGAAACTCTGAAGGTGAGTCAGATGGTGAATCTGATTCTGATCCAGATTTTGATGATGATCCAGAATTTGGTGGTGATCATGCTTCTAGAAGGAAAAACTCTAAAGACGTAGGTTCTGGAGGACAAGCTTCTAAATATGATTAGGTTTCTGGTGGAAATCATGACTCTAAGGATGGACCTTCTGAAGGAGGAGCTTCTGAAGGAAATTCCACCTTTGAAGATGATCATGATTCTGAAAGTGGAACTTCTGAAGGCAGAGGTGATCCAACTTTTGAAGATGGTATTTCTGAAGGCAGTGGCTTTGACTCTGATGATATTCATACCCTGGGAATTTTCAAGACTCTGAAGACAGTCAAGGTTCTGGAGGAAGTCAAAACTCTGAAGAAAGATCTTCTGAAGGGGGAAGTTCTGGTATCCAAAGTTCTGAAGGTCCAGTTCAGAGGCAACAAAGAGTCAGAAGAATCACAAGAAGATTTGTAGAGTTTGACATGTTGCTATACACTAAAGTAAACTCTGAAGGAGAAGTTATTCAGTTGCAATGTTAGTAGACTCTGAACCCGTGAGTACGAAAGATGCTCTTAAGCAGCAAGTTTGGTTACAGGCCACGAAAGAAGAACTTGGTGCTATAGAGAGAAACAAGACTTGGAAGCTGACAGAACTTCCAAAAGGCAAGAAAGCCATCAGCGTCAGATGGGTTTTCAAGCAGAAGCTAAAGTCAGATGAATCAATTGGAAAACACAAAGCGAGATTAGTAGCAAGAGGCTTCCTACAGAAGCCTGGGCTGGATTACTTTGAAGTGTTTGCACCTGTAGCAAGACATAAAACAATCAGACTAGTGATTGCAATAACTGCTAACAGGAATTAGCCTCTGATGTATTTAGATGTAAAATCTGCATTTCTGATTGGTCCATTACAAAAAGAGGTGTACGTTTCACAACCTCCTGGATTTGAGAAAAAGAATCAGGAAGGGATGGTGTTCAAATTACACAAAGCATTGTATGGATTGAAGCAAGCGCCCAGAGCTAAGAACTTGAAAAATGATTCATTTTTCAAGGAACAAGGGTTTCAGAAGTGTGAGATGGAGTATGGTGTTTATGTTCAGTACACTTCAGAAGGTAATATGATTCTGGTATGTTTGTATGTTGATGACATATTACTCACAGGAAGTTATGAACAAGAGATAGATGAGTTCAAGAAAGTTCTGATGAATGCGTTTGAGATGACAGGTCTTGGAAAAATGAGTTTCTTTCTAGGGATGGAATTTATATACTCTGAGAAAGGAATCATTTTACATCGGATGATGTATGAACTAGAGCTTCTGAAGAGATTTGAGCTAGAAAATTGCAAGGTTACTATCACACCTGCTGATACGAATCAGAAGTTGGATTCTGATTCTGATGGAGAGGATGTGGATGCTACAACCTTCAAACAGATGGTTGATTCTCTAAGATATTTGTGTAATACCAGACCTGATATTTGCTATGTAGTTGGAATTGTTAGCAGATTTATGAGCAAACCAAAGTGGCCCCATTACCAAGCTGCAGTCAAGATTCTGAGGTATGTGAAGGGAACTTTGAAATATGGAGTGTTATTTCCGTCTGGAAGAAAGATCGAATCAGAACTTCTGAGCTATTCTGATTCTGATTAGTGCGGAGATAGAGTTGACAGAAGAAGTACTTTTGGGTACTTATTCAAATTTTTGGGAGGTCCTATTTCTTGGTGTTCCAAGAAGCAACCTATTGTTGCTCTGTCAACCTGTGAAGCTGAATATATTACAGGTGCTCTGACTGCATGTCAAGCTGTGTGGATTTTGAACTTGCTGAAAGATCTGAAGATTGAGGTGAATAAACCTCTGAAGTTGATGATTGATAACGAGTCTGCAATCAATCTTGCCAAGAATCCAGTGTTGCATGGGAGAAGCAAGCATATTGAGACCAAGTATCATTTTTTGAGGAATCAAGTTCAGAATGGAATAATAGAGGTTGTGCACTGTAGCACTCAGAAGCAGCTGGCAGATGTTCTGACAAAAGCTATCAAAACTGATCAATTTCTTGGTTTAAGGGATGAAATTGGTGTTGTCAGTTTTGGGTAAATATAAATTAAGGGATGGTGTTATAATTAATTTAGATTTAATTAGATATTAGTTTATATTTGGGAATATCTTTTAGATTGTTTATATCTTTGTTAGAAGATATAAATCTTAGATCTTCTTATATCTTTGTAGAAGATATATTTTAGATTTAATTTGTGTGTATAAATAGCCTAGTGGAGTAGGTTATTGTAATTCATTGTAAATCCTTATTTTTGAAGCTATCAGTAAATATTCCTTTTGACTTTTATCTTTCTTGTTGTTGTACCCCAAAATTTGCCCTCCCATATTCTTCAAGAATTGCAAAGTCAAGCAAATGGTTCAAAGTCTACCCAAGGGCTACACAGTCAACCATCCTCCTAAGCCAGTCAAACTAGGGTTTTTGTTCTCACAAGGAAGCTGAAGTTTTCAAGGGCTCAATCAAGTCTCCTATGCTCATACACATTGTCAAGTACCTACATGTCAAGTTTCAAGGCTCACAAGGTCAAGTTGCACAGTCAAAAACCCTAATTGCTCCACAGTCAACTGCAAGGGCAAAATGGTCATTTGGCAGTCAAAAGTTCAAATTTTTGGTCAACATCTTATTTTTAAGCCACAAACATCATTTGATCAATGCTTGATCATGATTCTCAAAGCTTGGCTCAAAAATCATCAAGATGCAAAAGTTTCTATTTTTGGACAGCTGAAAAGTCAACTGTAACTTGACCAAGGCATAACTTTTTCATGGTTCATCAGAAAAATCCCATCCAATGCTCATTTTGAAGGGGAAGACATTTCCTACAACTCATATTCACACTCCAAGTCCAAGAAATGCTCTCACAAAAAGTTATCAATTTCAACATTATAGGTCATTTTCAAAAGTCAACAAAAAGGGACTTTAAGTCAAAGACCATAACTTGAGATTGGTAAATACAAATGACATGGGACCAAATAAATTGGTTAGAGGACTTCAAGACCTTTCCAAAATGTCCAAGAACATGATCAAAGCTTAAAAATTGAGCAAGATATGCATTGGAGAAGTTGGGAAATTTTTGTGAAATGGCCAAAATCATTTATCCTTGAAATTTCATTTTTGACAAAAGGGGCCCACTTTTTCCACTTGAATTAACTTGGCCATGCTTCCCACGTGTCCCACCTTTTATTTCAAATTTTTTAATTAATTTTTTCATTTTTTATTGATTTATTAGATTTAATT